CGAAAAAAACCCAAAAATATTTAGTCAAGGAAATTAACACTGCTCACGACGGCAAATGACACCAGTACATTTACTGAAATAACCCACTTTATGCTCAGGGGATGTTTCTAGATTAAATCTACTGGTTACAACAGTGACATGATGGTTTAATTCTTGCAATCTTTAAATTATATCTGGCACAGGGCCAAAATGTTTTTTATAGATTTTATTTTTCAATGTATCACTGATCATTTCTCTAAACACGACAGCGTCAAAGAAAACTATTTATAAGCGCCAAGCAGAAGATGAGACTATATTATTATTTTTATCGTCCATCCCCCAAAGAGATCTTTTGTGTGCCGGCGTCGGCGAACATGTTTTTCCAGCTGCTGCCAGTGTTGCATAAACCCTTCAGTCAATTTGAAGGGTTACTCTAAATAACACGGATTAAAATCTTAGCACACAGACAAAACAATCTCGTGAAAGCATCTGTTTTAGATGGGCTTTCTGATTGTTTTGCTGGCATTTGATGTCGCTAGGGGTGACGCCTGATGAACATATCTGATTACAAAGGGACAGAAATCATTTGTTAAAAAGCAAATTCAAAAACAGACTGATTCCTGATGGCAGCATGATCATTTTGATTCCCAATCACAGAAAAAAAGAAGGCTTTTTATTTATAATCTTAATAGGATGCAGTGTCCTGTGGGAATAATGAGTATGAATATATGTAGGGATATAAACAAGGAGAGTTTTTCTTGGGGTGAGCTTATTAATTCTGCATCTGAGTGCCTAAATTAAATTGAAGACAGCAACATGGCCAGGCTCCGTGAGAATGATAAGAAGAGGCAGAAATCCACCCGCGGTGCTTAAAAGACAAGACATCTGATTTCACACGGCACGTTCGTTTCCAGCTGAAGTGAAGCTAATGGAGTTAACTGGTCCCTCAACCTGATTTGCTACATCTATAGTTTGATAAATGGACGTGTGAGGAGTGAGAAAAACAAAATCACTGATGAAAAGTGGAGCTTTGATAAACACAGTTAGTTAGATGATGATGTCATTACCATTTTCGTAGCTGATATTTTAGAAATCTGTTCATGTGTAACTTCTGAGCAGATTTTTGAGAAGAAATCAGCAGAAAGTCATTCATGGAGGACGTCCAGAGAACAAAATTGGGAATAAAAAGGAAAATTTGTCAGTTTGCCTTGACTTTCCTCAGCTCAGACACATTATGGTCAATGGTATTTTGCAGACAGAGGCCCAATCCTCGCACTACACACTTGCGATCTTCAATTGCGTGTTCTCGTCCAGGGAGGCGAGTGCATAGGGTGTCCCAGTTTTCAAATGCAGAAGGTGACCATGCCCTTTTTGCACCCTTGATCCACACTTCACCCGAGTCTGCATCGATGTGGATTTTGGCCAAGGGTATTACCCACAATCCATTGCTGTGTGGGAATTTTGAGAAGAAAGTGGAGACATTTTCTTAAAATATGTTTTTTCAAATTAAAGACGGAAATTTCAAGATGGTGCTCTAGATGTTTTAGACTAAGATTTCATGTGGACAGCAATTAATTAAAATGTTGTCAAATAATTGTTTGGAAGTTGTTAATTAAAAGATTAAAAAATATATAAAATTGTCCAATCAGTGATCGGAATTCCAGCATGCATCTTGGTTGATGACGCAATTCACAATTTGGCACACTTGTATAGTATGCACTCAAAGTCTCACCTCCTCCAAGCGCACTTCACAGAAGAGCAGAGTGCGAGTATTGGGATTGGGACAAAGGCTACTGCTTTGATTTGGTGTTTAATTTTAAGGTTTCATGACTTCAGAAAGGCCCCAGATACTTGCTGGTTAGCCCATTAAGAATAAATGAATGAGTGATGGGAGTAAGGGTGATTTATGTGGGACAACGAGGTGTTTTAAATAAGGGTTGAAATAAAATGAGGAGAGGCATAAATAAAACTAAAATATGTCTGAACACGCTTGGCTCCTGCTTGCTGATAGAATGAGACCACAAGACCACGAGACAACATTCAGGCATTATTTTACCTACTCCTTCACCATTTGGCCATTTCATATTTCCTCCTTTTTTATTCAGCAATGTCAGGAGGTATCAGACTTTCTAAGAATTATTTGCAAAGGAATCAAAAATAAACAGTAGATTGCTGAGATGAGAGTTGTCTCTGTTTTTCCAAGGAAGCCGAGGCAGTTTTTGCAAAAGAAACGAGATTTTAAAAAAGCACCTTTGTGAAGTTTCATCACACCACATTTATAAAAAATAACACATGCATATAATATAATAACCAGTGCCTAATTTAATGTATTTTTCTGCTGAGAAAAAGCTGGGTGGAGTTTTAAATGTTGCACATTTTAAAATCAGTTGCACCCCTCCTGTCTAGGAGATCCAGGGGCAAGGAACACGTAATATTAAGGTAAACTAAAATACAGACCAAAACTCATTTAACCCTTTTAAGCAGTTTTATTCCCAAAAAAGGGAAACCTTTAAACTGAACAGTGGTGGTTATTTACCTGTGGAAAACTAAAAGTGCCTCTCTATTAACAACAGGTGGGATAACAACAAACTCTTAAAGGATGACAAAACAAAACAAAAGCTACTGGAGCAAAACTCCAGCCATATGCAGGTCCTTCTCAAAAAATTTGCATATTGTGATGAAGTTCATTATTTTCTGTAATGTACTGATAAATAGAATTTCATGTGTATTAGATTCATTACACACAACTGAAGTAGTTCAAGCCTTTTATTGTTTCTAATATTGATGATTTTGGCATACAGCTCATTACACCCAAAATTTCTATCTAAAAAAATTAGTATATCATGAAAAGGTTTTCTAAACGAGATACTAACCTAATCATCTGAATCAACTAATTTACTCTAAACACTTGCATGATTCCTGAGACTTTTAAAAACTCCCAGCCGGGTTCATTACTCAAAACTGCAATCATGGGTAAGACTGCCGACCTGACTGCTGTCCAGAAGGCCATCAGTGACACCCTCAAGCAAGAGGGTAAGACGCAGAAAGAAATTTCTGAACGAATAGGCTGTTCCCAGAGTCCTGTATCAAGGCACCTCAGTGGAAAGTCTGCGGGAAGGAAAAAGTGTGGTAGAAAATGCTGCACAACGAGAAGAGGTGACCAGACCCTGAGGAAGATTGTGGAGAAGGACCGATTGAAGACCTTGGGGGACCTGCGGAAGCAGTGGACTGAGTCTGGGGTAGAAACATCCAGAGCCACCGTGTACAGGCGTTGCAGGAAATGGGCTACTGGTGCCGCATTCCCCAGGTCAGGCCACTTTTGAACCAGAAACAGCGGCAGAAGCGCCTGACCTGGGCTACAGAGAAGCAGCACTGGACTGTTGCTCAGTGGTCCAAAGTACTTTTTTTGGATGAAAGCAAATTTTGCATGTCATTCAGAAATCCAGGTGCCAGAGTCTGGAGGGAGACTGGGCAGAGGGAAATGCCAAAATGCCTGAAGTCCAGTGTCAAGTACCCACAGTCAATGATGGTCTGGGGCGCCATGTCAGCTGCTGGTGTTGGTCCACTGTGCTTTATCAAGGGCAGGGTCAATGCAGCTAGCCATCAGGAGATTTTGGAGCACTTCATGCTTCCATCTGCTGAAAAGCTTTATGGAGATGAAGATTTCATTTTTCAGCATGACCTGGCACCTGCTCATAGTGCCAACACCACTGGTAAATGGTTTACTGACCATGGTATTACTGTGCTCAATTGGCCTGCCAACTCTCCTGACCTGAACTCCATAGAGAATCTGTGGGATATTGTGAAGAGAAAGTTGAGAGACGCAAGACCCAACACTCTGGATGAGCTTAAGGCCGCTATCGAAGCATCCTGGGCCTCCATAAAACCTCAGCAGTGCCACAGGCTGATTGCCTCCATGCCACGCCGCACTGAAGCAGTCATTTCTGCAAAAGGATTCCCGACCAAGTATTGAGTGCATAACTGAACGTAATTATTTGAAGGTTTACTTTTTTTGTATTAAAAACTCTTTTCTTTTATTGGTCGGATGATTATGCAAATTTTGAGATAGGAATTTTGGGTTTTCATGAGCTGTATGCCAAAATCATCAATATTAGAAACAATAAAAGGCTTGAACTACTTCAGTTGTGTCTAATATATATGAAAGTCTAATGTTTATCAGTACATTACTGAAAGTAATAAACTTTATCGCAATATTCCAATTTTTTGAGAAGGACCTGTACAACACAACTAAGCATAAATGAGCTCTGTCAAGCAGCCTTAGACCATACAAGCTTAAAAAGGACTAAATACACCAATTAATCCTAAACACGTACCTCAAGGTCGATTACAAGAGCAAAGTAGTGCCTGGCAGAACATCAGACTAGCTCTGAATCCCCCTTTGGTGAGAACTCTTCCTTAAATAAGGCTCTGGGTCTGTCTGGTGAAATGCTGCAGCTGGTGCAGCAGGCAAGGAGCTGCTACTCTCAATTGTGTGGAAGGGACTGACTGGAGTGGAGAGGGAGCCAATCAGCAAGCCTGGGCCAAAAATCCATGGGGTTGAGAGAGACGACTGGAGGTCAAATGCAGGAGGAGAGCCAGGGGATAGTTTGTTGATATAAGATGCATGTTTCAGATGCTTACATTATAGACTGAGGGGAAAAGCTGTTTCGAGATGTTCACAATTTAACGAATGCTGCAAATTCTCTACAAGAATTAAGATTACAGCAGCTCCACCAGCTGACTTGGCATCAGATAACATATGTTATGTTGTTGGGTTTTAGTATTTTTTTGCTTTCAGTTACACATTTATTAGGGTTAGGGTTAGATTTTGCTCAAGTTTCCTGCTTCCTTGGTATTGGGCCAGCTTCACTTGCCTTATTGAACTGTCATTATTTATTGGTATCACTTCTATTTCTGAAATCTAAAATTAATCTGATTTGAAAGTTTAGTAGTATTTTAGTTCATTTATTACAAGCCAGTAAATGTAAAATGCTAAAAACCTTTACGTTTTTCTTCTGCAGGACAATGTCAACCTTCTCCTGACAGAAGAAGAGATGTACAGTCTAATGGAGATGTTCAAGCAGTGTAAGATTATCCCAGGTGAGTCATCGCCATCAGCATTTCTTTTTTATTTTTTCATATTTATAGTAATTTGGTCATTGCCACTGTGGTTTATGATCAAATATGTTATGTTTTCATGCTCATCAGCTCATGCAATACACTTATTTATTATGTACCCCACTTGTTCATGATCCCAGTGACCCTGAACAGATTATATTGTGTACAAAAATATGTTATTGGACAATGTAGGAGTGGGTTGTCCAGTAATTGGAAGGTTGTAGGACTGATCCTGGTTCCCGGCAGAGAATGTTACTGTTGGATCCTTGGGCAAGACACTTAACCTACCTTGTCTGCTGGTGGTGGCCAGAGGGACCAGTGGCGCCAGTGTTTGGCAGTCTTGCCTCTGTCAGTGCGCCCCAGGACAGCTGTGGCTACATTGTAGCACATCAGTGGTCTAGTGGTACAGTGTCCCCCCCCGGGACTGGGAGATAGGGGTTTAAATCCCGGTCGGGTCATACCAAAGACCTTAAAAAATGGGACCCAATGCCTCCTTGCTTGATTCTCAGCTTTAAGAGGTCAGATTGGATGGGGGGAGGGGGTTAAACCACCAAATATTTCCCGAGCGCAGCCACACCGCTCCCCACGGGGATGGGTCAAATGCAGATATGTAATTTTTCCAGTGTGTGATGATGATTATTGAGACTTTGACTTTATCATCACTAGCGTTTGAATGCGTGTGCAAATGAGTGAATGAATGATTGTGTTGTAAAGTGCCTTGGGGGGTTGTAGAACCTAAAGAAGATGCACTACAAATACAGGGGTGGGAGTGCGGTCCTGTCTTTGTTAAAAATGAATCATCCTGAGCTAATTATAGATGGAAGACTACAGAGTGACAAATTCGATCTGATGGGATGAATGGTTCCTTGTTCTTGTAGAGTCATGCCTGGTGTCAGACGAGTTGCTGCAGTACCGCCACATTGTGTCCAAGCAGCAGTTTGATAAGGATCTGAGTGATGAGCAGGAGGAGGAAGTCCTGGCTCAGTTTGCATCTCTAGATCCTGAGAAGAAGGGCCACATCGAATGGTCAGACTTCCTCTACTTTGAGTCTCTGGCTGTTTTGAGGAAGTTTCGGTCTGAGGTATAGTATTTGGTTGTGTGTGTATTTGATAGATGTAAGAACTTTTTTTTTTTCCCCACGGTGCTGTGAATTATTATTAGCCCTCCTTACAAATCTCCTCTGCTTTTGATTGTCACACTTAAATGTTTCAGTTCAGCAAAGAAATTTCAATTCCAGATGCATAATCTGAGTAAATTTTAAAAATAAAACCATACAATAGCATCTATGGAAGACTTCCAATGACAAAATTCTGCTGAACAAAAATAACTCAAAGGCTCATCTCACAATTACCAAAAGACACCTTGATATTTGCCTGGATTAGACTTTGGAAAAACCGACTAAACAAAAGTGCCCTTACATGTGGAGTCACCAACAGCAAAACATGGTGGTGGTAGTATAATGGACCGGGGTTGCTATGCTGCTTCAGGACCTTGATAAAACGCTGCAACTGATGAAACACAGAATTTTGTTCTCTAGAAAATCCCCAAGACCTTTAACCCTTAACAGGTAATTCATGCTGGAGAACCCTCCAGGAGTGACAGTGGCTCAGGAATAAGGAAATGACTCTGGTGGTTTGCCTGTCTGTTTGTGTCAGTCGTCCTATGACGAGGCATTTCTTGAAAGACTGTAGTGTCAAGTGCTTTGGAGTCCTCTGACTCTAAAAGGCACTATGTAAGTGCAGATCATTTATCATTTTTCTTTTACAAATTATCACAGTCCTTTGATTATTGAAAATTACATTAGGATTTACTCAGGTTATCTAAGTCTGATACTTGAATTAGTTTTGTTAGAAAATTAATGAAATCTTAGAATGCTGATCTGGATCAGTCCATTTAGCTCCACTCAGCTTTCCATCGGATCACGAGGAAAGACTGTCTGTTATGTAATGACTTTGGAATAGTTTGTTTTCAATCACTATCAGTTAGGCACAAACACCCAACTGAATTCATATCTTCTCACATAGGATGGGATGGGCTTTAGCCAGGCTTACACATAGAACCAGTGGCAGGAGGCCAGCAGACTAAGTGGGTGGGGTCCAGCTTAAGGTATAAAATAATGTAAGAGGAGATTCAGGATCCTTTTGACTGACTATCATGCTTCAGGGGGACCAGGCACGTGTGTATTCTGTTCCTCTTTTTATGTTTTTCTACATAAAACAAGTTCATTGAACCAAATAAAATCATAAGTGCATTTCCACTACCGAAACTTTAAGGTAAATTTACAGGAACTTCCCAACATGCCTCTTGACCGGGCCGGCTGAACGACCGTTTTCAGGAACTTTCTAAGTACATGATCAGCGGTAGCTACTTGGAATGGCCCGGTGGAGCCACTGAGCAGTGTTCATTTTGAGAAGAAATTTTATTGTAGTTTTTGTCTTAGTCTTTTGACTAAAATTCTTTTTAATTTAAGTTTAAGTTCTTTTTAGTCGCCTGTCTTTTCCGTTTTCTGATTTGGATTTTCGTTTTGTCAATTTTCATTGTTGTCTCTTATTTGTCAATGAAAATGTCAGTCAATATTCGTCATGACTTATTCATTATTTGTGTGTATGGTTTCATTTTATAGTAGTCTGTGAAAATTCATTCGTCACAAAACAACAACAAAAAAATTAGTCAACGAAATCAACATAGCTGAGCAAAACTTTTGGTTAACTCATGCTGACTGGTTGTAACTCAGTAGGAAGTGGCTTCAGCAGATGCCATTCAAAACAACCGGCATTAGTAAAATTAGAAGAGTTGCTTGTGAAGCAGAATGAAAACAAAAGAAAATAAGCACAGATCATGCTGCTTTAATATTGCCATTACTAAAGTCCTAACACCGAAAAGCACAGCCGAATTCCCCACAACGACATAAATCATGGGGCTTTGTTGTCTCACGATAAAAACTGAGCTTCATCTGGTCATTGAACGACACATTTTATATCATGCAGCTGCTCCCGTTTTCTGAAAAGATTAAATTATGACATACTTTAACAGAAGAAACACTTTTAATGTTTCTGTGGCCGCATTTTCTGGAGCTGATGAGGGACATCACTCACTGCCGACACAGTCGTGACATGCTGACATCTCTGCAAAGTTCTTAAAGAGCTGAATTTGAACGGAGACACAACAGCTGAATTTACACTGAAGTTCCAACAATGCAAACACGACTATGGTCATCTTTTCAGTGTATCAGCGGCAAAGTTAGAGCAAGCCCCTGGGAGAAAGAGCCATGGTACAAGGTTCGCTAACCGGAGGTGATCTGACAAGAAAGGAGCTATCTACAGAAGTCAATTACAACCATTTGTTGATATGAAACACTAAAAATTAACAAAAGTAGAAAAAACAATCTGTAAGGGGGTGAATACTGTTTTACAGCACTTTAAACCAAACATTTAGTAGAAATACAACCATCTATGTTATCAAGAGCAGCGTCATATAAAACTGTAAATCCACCTTCTTTAACTGAAACTTTTAACCAGATGAATAAAATTCGGTTTTAATGAACATTTTCTGGTGAAACTAGACAGGACACTGATGATATTGCATATGGTTATGGAAGTAGAAGATAATCAAACTCTGGTTTGTGTCCAGCAGCTTAAATGGGTCATTTTACTGTTGTGTGTAACCACTGAACACTTCTATGATAGTTCCTTGTATCTGGCTTTAGGGATTACATTTGCATTCGCGTGCATCTCTGAGGTGACATGAGGTAAAGCAGCATTTGCAGATTACATCAGTCAGTACTAATGTATTTGAGTATAATTAAAGCAGAAGCCCTTTTTTAGACCTACATTAAAATAACTGAAATCATTAGCATAGATTGCATGTTAAAGCGCTGAAGAAAAATATCCATTCTGCATATCGTGAGCTCACACACTTGTTGGATTTGTATTTATTTGTGTTTTTGTAGAACTCATTGGTGCGTCTGTTGACTGCAAAAGAGAGAGACAAGGCCAGGTCAGTTTTTCTTGGTTTGGCCATGGATAAAGATGGTGTGATCACACGAGCAGAATGCCGTCAGGCCCAGCAGTCCTGGTTCAACAAGCTCAAAGACCCTCAGTCTTGCAACGTCAGGTGAGGACAAAACACTTTCAACCACGATAATCATGAGAGTCAGAATCTCATCTGCATGCAAGCAGCAGCTGGTGGAGACAGATAAACATCAGTGGAGTTACTCAGAGAATGAAGACAGAAGGAAGATATAAAAGTGCACTGTTTTCTGAAAACATTCAGACATAAATTAATGTCATGGATGTGCATTTGGAACCAATTCAGCTTTTCCAGAAAGTTACACCAATTATGAATTGTTCAAAATAGGTGAGCTGCCCAAAAGCAGCAAATCATTAAAAAATAAAATAAAAAAAATAAAAATTACAAATACTCTTATAATTACAATGTAATTTTGGGGACTTTCCTTCTTATGTTTTTTTCGTAAATCAACTTTTCTGTTTCAATTTTAGGCCTTTATTTTTCATTCATATTTGCTTTCTTTTAAGGTTTTCTTTACTTTCTGCTGCCCTAACCTTTAGAGATGAGTGTTGGCCAGAAGAAGTCGATTGTTTCACCAATGATCTAGGATCTGCAGTGATCGTTAGTGAGTGTTAAAACGTCTTAAGGGGCATTTAGATGACGTGTGAACTTGCCACAGCACTAAACCGTTTAAGAATTGTGTTTGCTCTTCATTACAAGTTTAAATTCTGGTTCCTCTCCCTTGTTTCATATTTTATAATTAATGCATCAAAACAATGTTGCATGAAAAATATTTTTCACACACTTAAGCCTAAATATATGACATTTGCAGATGCATGCTGATTTGCTTTCCTTAACAAATTGAGAACAGTACTAAAAAGAAAAACCAAATACTAAAATTAACAGTGTTAGGTTTTACTTTTTAAATTAATTATCACCTTTTTCCAATTACTTGTAATACATTTTAATGGGTTTCCTGTGCAGTTGAAATGAAAATAAATGTACACAATTTGTCCATCCCGTATATATGTTGATGGTCCATCCACAATTTATTTATTTATTTATTTATTTTTACGGCAATAATAATGGCAACAAATAAACTGGAGTAAAAAAACCTTTTCTGCTGGTAATCACCATGTAGGTTTTAAAGATTGGAATTTTTAAAGTTGCTCCTTTATCTGTAGAAATCAAAACCAACTTTATGTGTCGTGATCTTTAGAACTTTAGTTTCTTTTGGCACAAAACTGTTTTATAACAGCCTGAAGGCAGCATAAGAAAACATTTTAACTGTCTTCTTCTCACATTCCAGAAATTCATTTAGATGAAATAAAAGACACCAAAGCATTGCTACTCACTGCTGTGAAGTCTAATGCAGAAAGTAATAACTGCTCACTCTGCTGCAAAGTAACAAAAAAAAAAAGGGGGGGGGGGGGCTTACAAACGGAGAATTCAAGCTTCTGTCAAAGCCAGCCTATTTAAATTATATCTGCCTGAGAAATAATAACTATACAAAACAAATAGCTTTTTGCACCAAGCTGCCAGGCAGTTTGATGTCTGGCATAATGTTGTCTCATAGCGAGTAGGGTGTGCATGTTTGCATATGTTTAAAACCACTAAGTGATTGGACACACCAAAACAAATCATGTCCAAGGCAACTTTATGCAACATTCTGGCAACCAGTCCCACCCTTGTGAAGCTTTTATGGTCAAACTGGATGAAAGCAGAAATAAAATCTGAGATAGCTACCAGAGCAACCCAAAGTTACTAGGTTTCACCCAATTTATAACATGACTACTGCAAAAAGTGTGATAATTTTACAGGATATTTCTGTTAGAAGTCAGAATTCTCACTCCATGCATGCACCTTATGCAATATGCATAAATCATTGAAATACTATAAAAATTTTCAATGAAGCAATTGACAATATCAGTTTGTTTTTAATGCAAGAAATAGGATATATTTGAATATTCTGAGAAGAAAATCTATGTGAATGAAATGAAAAAGTGCATAAAGTGTGGGTGAAAAAAACAGCATCAAATATTTAAATAGAAAGACAAACATTGAATCTGTGTTAAATCATTGTTTATTCCTTTTCATCAGTGTCTAACTGTAAGCATGCATGTCTGCTGTACCATTGCATTCCCCTCACCTATTCCCCACAGACTCATGGGATTCTGCTCTCCTATGAATTGTGGGTGAGTGTGACTCAGCACCGCACGGCTTGTCTAATTTTTTTTTCTCGTTTCAAAAGCCTTCGGCACTTTGAAGTCATCTGGGATTCTCAGACAAACTCTTGATTTAGTTTTAGAAAGCAGAGAGAGGGTGAAAGCCCACTTATCTCCAAACTGACACACTCTCTGAACATGAATCAATCAAAGGTGCATGCAGCTCTGGACAATGTGTAATGAGCTGAGTGCATGCTCTTTATGGTCATGTTGTACAGAGGCATGGCTGGCCTCTAATTGCAGAGTTCAGAGGAAGATCTGCAGTTTTCTTCGGAGGAATGTCTCTTTAAGAGGCTGGCTTGATGGGGATCATGGTCGACAAATGGAGGCTGTGAGGGTGCATCATCAGGTCCACACATAACCATATATAACACTGCCTCATGCTTTCTTGTTGATTGGATAGGAAAGAAAACTGTGGCTCCTGGATTATTTCACAGCATGAGAATGGAAAGTGGTTTTGAAAGAGACATTAGTCACCGGTTTAATCAAAGTGGCTTCCATAGTTAATGCAAAATCCATGATTTATTTGGGTTTCATGTGCGATGAAATACTAGTGAATTACTGTGTCATCTGTTTTAAGGTCACAGTCCAAACTATGTTTGTTTTTTAGTGTTTTATTAGATTTTACTGAATAAAACTGAACTTCAGTCTACAGTATAGTTATAAGAAGAAATGCACCAACAACATATTTTTCTAAACTGAATATGAGTACTTACAGTTAAGTGCTTATCTCTATTGAACACTAATAATGACCACTAATCAAAGTCATGGTTTGGTACAATTGGGGGGGGGGGGCAAATTGAGGACCTGTCAGCTGGTTTCTTCACTAAAAGATAGAAAGTCATGTTATTATTTCCTTTATTTAAATCTGAACTGTACAAAGTGTCCCATGGATATATGACAGACAGGAAGTTAGAACAATTCCAGAAAAGTTTATCTCTAGGTTGAAAAAAAATGTGTTAATCTAATCTGGACTTTGTGGCAAAAGTAATACAGAACTAAATAATGCAAACATAACAAATAAATGAGTAAATTTGAAACACTCACACCAAGTTTCTCAGCTGGGTGATCCTTGTGTGGGGAAATTTCGCTTAGATAAACAAATACATGCTTAAATTAATTAATTTAGGACAACTTAAAAGTTTGTGTGATTGTATGACATGACAGCTTTCCATACTGTATAACTTGCTGTTTCTATAAGAATAACTTTTCCTGGGTTGATTAGCACCCAGCTGTTGGATCTTTAATCTCTGTTATTTTGAAGCAACCATTTAGAGAGAGCTTTAAGAAGCTCTCCTGATGTTATAGCTGTTAGCAGAATGAGATTAAATTAAACACCACTGCTCCAGATAATTTTCCTTATCTGTTAGACATAATCATCAGAAAAAAGAAAAAGGCTTGAAAATGAAAATGGTTCACTTTGTGTGTGTGGATAATCTACATAATATCAGTTTCACTTTATTAAATGAACTTTTCCCCTGTATTCTAATTCTTTTGACACTTGTGCAAAAGTAGAACAAAACAGTGCCTGTAAACGGGCTACCGAAGATGGAGACAAGCAGTCTATGTTATACAGTCTATAAATCCAATTGTAATCAGTCTTAAATATGCTTTCATTGTAAAATAATGTTTTAAGCTAAATCCTCACATTTCACTAAATAAAAGAGATCGCTGAAAAGTCTGAAAATGATGATAAAGCGTTGATCATTAAATGTCTGTAAATGCAAACGAATGGAAGGAAAGTGTTGCTGATGCTATTATCCTTTTTGTTACCTGGACCATACACCTTGTAATTCTTTAAATGTTCTTCTTGTTTGTCTGGTTCAGCATCAGTCATGTTGGTCCCATCTGTGAGAGCAGCCCCGCCAGCTCTGGCAGTGAGAGAAGCAAGACTGATGAAAACAGGTTAGTTCTTTTCTGAGAAAAAATGCTTCCATTATTGTAAAGTATTAGTTTTTTTTCTTACAAAGGTTTGGTTTGTAATTTATATGTGCTGTGAACTTTAATGCACACACTTGATCCTATCAATGACTCTCCTTCTTTAGACAAAACTGTCCTTAAAACTGGAGACCGTTTTTGAGTCTGTACCAGAAAACGAAAGCAGCCCCTCTGTACTTTTGGGACTTTTTCTTCATGCTACCTTACATGGTCTTTCTGTAATTACAGCAAATTCCCCAGCTTACTCAAGGGATCTCAAGTTTTAAGCTGGTTTGTTTGCCAAATTTGCCATTGCAGCTTTAAAGAGGACATACCATGGGCATTATTCATGTTATGCACAACACTCCAAATGTGAAAGCAAAATTTCTGAGTGTTTAGTTTTAGGAATTTTGCCAAAAACAACTTTCAAAAAGTCCCAATTTGTGGCGTGTCAATCAGGGAAAATAGCATAGAACCGCATTTTACCTTTCCAGGCTGGAAGAGCTTCTCAGCTTATAGCAGCCTGAGCAGGGGGTGGGTGGGTGTGGCTTGCTCCCGCTTGTTTTAAAGTGACAGAACCCTGAAATGGCTCAATCTGGAAGGTTCTGAAACTGTCCAGAATAAAACTGCTGAGACTGCTTTACATGAGAGGGATTTTTGGGAGATAACTTCTTGAAAATGTTTGGTTTGGGACTATTATATATCTTTAAAGTCATAATATGTCTCCTTTAAAACATATATTTGAAAAATCTGGTTTACTTTCTTACTATGGAAAATCTCAGTATAACATAATAGTTTTGGGTTTGAGTATTATATTTTTGTATTTGATTCTGTGTTTCTTTGTTTTGGGGAAGATTTCCTTCTAAAGAACCAGTTCAGTGATGTCACCCTTCATTGTATTTTTGCTTCCCACATTTCTCAACCTCTTACCTGCTCTGTTGCCCTTCAGGTTACCTTTGTATGTGTTAATCTCTTCTTCTCAATTCCTTTGTTGTCATTAAAGCTTCTTAGTTTTACCACTCCCTGCAGGCTGTGTCCACTAGCAAGGGGGAATTATGACTCTTTTCAGCTCACCAATTAGCTCCATCCGGCTCTCCTACAAAAGTTGGCTCTTATAACTCCTAAATGGCTAATAAATGGCTCCTCATTTAGTCCTATTGATGTGCTGTTTGGAAAGAGCCAACGTCTGTCTGAGAGCCTTTATATTTATTTTCCTACCCACTAGTTTTTAAGGGAGGGATGCTCATAAGATCAGCTGGATATCTTTCAATAGACTGAACCTCCCCAATGGAAACCTTCAGAAAGTCAATGACTCCCAGACAGGAGTTGATGCTCATTGCTTCTTTTTATACAGCTAGTTTGTTCATGAAGGTAACACTGTGTGTACAAAAAGTGTTTCCATACATATTTATATATTTTGTTTGTGACAGGCCAGTGACCTGGGCAGACTTTTTAAGGGAGAGTGCCATCTACATCCTGGCTGCACGGCCCAATAGTTCTGCCATGCACATCCGGATGCCTCTATAGTCTGAGTTCCTCTGCTGAAGCCTGCAGAAAGAGGAAGACAGTCCACGGATGAGTGGGAGAAGACAGACACGCTGACATGATGGCATGAGGATGGAAACTAAAGAAACTGGGGGAAGCACTGAGTAATAGCAGATGACATGATGAACAGAAAAGCTCCTCTTCTGTGTCACTTCTACACCAAAAGACAGACAACACACACCACGTTTGATTCAGTAGCTATCATGGGTCCAAACCATGAGAGTTTCCAACTTTATGTAACAAATATAACTTGACAGATGCCCGTTTTTATTGACAATCCTGCGTAAACTCCAGGATGCTCACAACAACACTATTCTGTGTGAGCTGCATAACACACCTATCATGTGAGTGCATTAATGAGACAGGCTGTTACTCTTTCAAGTATTCATCACTTTGGGTGCCATTGTTCTATTCAAAATCAATGACGCTATAATGGGCTTGTGCTTCACTATTAAGAAGTTCAACACGCGGCACAGAGGCCATTGCAATTCCTGCTATTCACACGTAACATAAGAGAACCGCTACACATACCAGTATCAGTTAACATGCATTTTAAAAAAGCTGTATTTATTCCTGTATGATGTATTCTCTGTTCCTCCCATTTTCATCCAAACCTGTGTTGTCCTCAAACACTAACTGTGAAAAAGAAGTGAACATTAATGAAAGTTAACCCTGTATATATGCACTACCATAGAGTATGTATTGCTCCTGTCGCGCTCTCAAGAGTCACGCTACGATGAGGTGAAAATTGCTTGTGCCCCCCTAAGCACACCAATTGCACCTGCCAAATGAATGAGATGCATTTTAATTATTGTTTGACATAATCACTGTAATGAAAGGAAAGTGTAACATGAGACGTATATACACATGTATATATTTAGCCTTTGCTAACGAGCAGAAACATTTAAGAACCTGTAATGAGAAGTTCTATTATTAAAGCATTCTATAAAACGATGGCCTGTAAATGAGACGTCCTTTTAAATCACTGGGCATTGTGTAGTGTTTATGAAGGTTGTGTGTCATGTCATCATAATGAATAAAGAAGAGAAATGAAAGGAAACATGCTGGTCAGAGAGATATGTCTTGTTGAAATAAATGCTGAACATTTGCACACATTCAGAAGCCTAGAATCGTGTCTTGTGTTCATTCATTTGTTTGCTCTTTCATTTTCCTCCACTTACATGAGTCCGGGTTGCAGGGGCAGCATAAGTAGGGCATCCCAGACAGCCCTCTTCATGGCCACCTCCACCAGCTTCACCACAACAGAACGGTTCAGCGTCCGCATCACTGCAGACGCTGCCCGAATCTGCCTGTCGATCTCCCGCTCCCTCCTTCCCTCCCTCGTGAACAAGAACCCAAGATACTAAAACTCCTCCACTGGAGACAGGACTTCTCTCCCAACCTGGGGCTGGCAAGCCGCCCTTTTCCAGCTGAGAATCATGGCGTCGGATTTGTAGGTGCTGAATCTCATCCCAGCTGCTTCACACTCTGCAGCAATGTCACCCAGCAAAAGCTGGAGGTCAGAGATTGATGATGCTAGGGGGACCACATCATTAGAAAACTGCAGAGACCAGATTCTCCTGCCACCAAACTCAACACCCCCCCAACACCACGACTGCACCTATTCTGGCCATTAAGGTAATGGACAGAACCGTTGACAAAGGGCAGCCCTGGTGGAGTCCAATCCTCACTGGGAACAAGTCTGACTTACTGCCAGCTATGTGGACCCAGCTCATGCTTTTCTGGTACATGGGCTGAATGGCCTTCAGCAAAAGGCCATCCACCCCATACTCCTGGAGTGCCCCCCATAGGGTGCCCCTGGGGACACGGTCATAAGCCTTCTCCAAATTCAAAAAACACATGTGGATCATTTGTGCAAACTTCCACGCTCTCTCCAGCACCCCAGCAAGTGTAAAGATCGGGTCCACAGTTCCACGACCAGTACGAAAACCACTCTGCTCCTTGTTTTGTGTTTCTTTAGAGTTAATTTTTGTTAAAAATTATTATAAACACAAGGTTCTCAATCTTTTGCACCAATGGAAAAATTGTGATTTAGTGGTGTAACTTCCAGCTCTGCAGCTACAGAGATATCATTATCCACACATCATGTATAGATTGAAAAGAAATAAGTGAAGAAATGTAAATAAATAAATATAGCATGAGCATGTTTGATCACCACTGATGCCCACTATCCAAACCCGTCAGTGTAACATTATTACATGTTTAAAGACTAAAGTGAATGAACATAATGCAAGACATTTTCTCTAAGGAACCTTGATTTTTACATCTGGGCAAAACTAGCAAAGAGCATAATAAAAATGGTGATTCCTATATTATGAAGTGGCGTGTTTTTTCTGCGTTTTAGAAATAAAATTGTTTGATGTGCCTGTAAGTAAGGCTGTGCCTGAAGATTCAAAATGTTCTCTTCAACAACAAAAAAAATAAATCATTCCATGTCTTTCATCTTCTGTGTTATGGGGCTTTTGGATTTTGACAGTTCTTCAATAGTGAGCGCTGTTTGAATTTGGAACCTGAAAGGCAGTCCTGAATATAAAACTTTGTGAAGACTTATTTTACTTTGAGATTTTTCTTTTTAAGTTACCTAATTGTGACTTTTGAATAAGAATGTTTTAAGACCACTTTCCCACTTTCTTTTTCCATCTTCACCATATTGAACACATCAGCAGGAGACTTGTCACCTTGGAATTAAAACAATTCCATATGACATTTCTGTCAAATAGTTATTCATGACTTTACTTTTATTCTTGACCTATGGATTTCTATGGCTTAAGAACTTTTGAACTAGAAAAAAATCACTAATGTACTCTTATGTATTCACTTATGTACTCTTTTTTGTTTGGCACAGTAAACCTATACAGTTGAGACAGTTCTGCACACCTTCATCTCCTCACGCTTAGATACTGTAACTCTCTTTTCACGTGTCTGAGCAGAACCTCCCTGAACCATCTACAGGTGGTTCAGAATGCCTGTGCTCAGCTTCTGACCAAGTCCTCCAAACACACCCACATCACCCCGCTTCTCCTCCGGCTTCACTGGCTGCCAGTCAACTTCAGGGTTCATTTCAAGATCCTGGTTCTGGTCTATAGGGCCTTATACGGACCAACACATTCTCACTCCCAGCGTGTCAAAAACAAACGCTTGGTCAGCCACCCTCCACGTCAGACCCCTGACACCAAAAGTGCCCTTTTTCGTTACTTATGTGCGAAAAGGGGTTTTTCCCTTATTTGACTGCAGATCCCAATGCAGCGTTACACTGACGCGATGGGATGTCCACAGCCAGGGCACCAAACAAGCTCATTGTACCTCACCTTAACCTTATCCTCTTATTTAACCTTCCCCTCACCCCTATCCTAACCTTAACCATCTTGCTAGCTAACACGTTAGTGATGTGTCGATCGCTCTAAAAGCTGGCTCTATGAAGTGAACGGCGGGAGCCGCGTCGTCATTGGTCGAGTTTGGACCGAGCCAACGCGAGGGGGAGGTTTCAACTACCCTGGTGGAGGTTAAAAGTAGAGTATTTGTAACCTCCCCCTCGCCAGATGGTATGTTCTAACGTTCCCCTTGGGCTGCAAATATGAAAATTCACAGTCGGAATGCAGGGGAAACAAACACTTGATCACAGTGAGAGTAACGTTTTAAAAAACCCTTTTCGCACATAAGTAACGAAAAAGGGCACTTTTGGCGTCAGGGGTCTGACGTGGAGGGTGGCTGACCAAGCGTTTGTTTTTGACGCGGAGTGGGAGTGAGAATGTGTTGCATGGACAAGCACCATCTTACATTGGTGATCTTCTTAGTCCCTACACCCCCAGCAGGTCCCTGAGGTCCAGTGATCAAAGCCTACTGGTTGTGCAGCACACCAGGCTAAAGACCAAAGGTGACAGATCATTTGCTGCTGTGGCCCCCAGACTCTGGAACTCTCTCCCCCTGAGCCTGAGATCAGTGGACTCAGTGGTCTCCTTTAAAAAGCAGCTGAAGACTCACTTGTTCAAGCTGGCTTTTGTATGACCTTCTTCAACCACTCTCTCTTTATTCTGCTCTCCCCACCTATTCCACCTTCCTCAGGATCCACTGATTTCCCTCTTTCCTGTTCACTCTCTCTCTTTCTTAACATTTATTTTAACCACAATTGCCTATTTTTGCTCATTTTAAATATATTTGAAACATTTTCTAAATGCTTTTTTATATTTTTACATTTTTTTGTTTTTGTGAAGCGCCTTGTGATTTTTTATCTTGCAAGGCGTTATAGAAATGATATTTTCTTCTTCTTCTTATCAAAGTGTGCATGTAAGAGTTGGAAACCCCAATATATCCCACAGTCAACATAACAAAGAAATAAGAACCTGTTTACAAGCCAACCATACTATAGGTGTGAAACACTGAAAACCCTTTTTGTTAATGATTATTTCTGATTATATTGGGTCACCCTGAGTTTTCATTCAAGAAATAGTCTCCTACATCTGTCTTCTGCATTAGCTTCTGATAAAAATTAGACTGGGAAAATCTAGAATTTGAAAAGCCTGACAGATCTATGTCACACTGTCACTGAAAATTCATGGACTCCCCCATCTTGACTCGTGACGGGAGAGGCTGTTGTTGGTTTAGCATTCAGGAAACAGCAGAGGATGTCTCAGCTAGTGGAAGCTAACTGTTAGCATTAGCATCTCTACCACATAGCCGAACTCATTCAGGCCTGTGTTATTTGTGAAGTGTTGAAGAGCAAACAGGGGTAGAGTTGCATTGCTGTTATTCAATTTGAAGTTAGATGTCCAAATGTCAGAAAATAAGGGCCTGTCATCAGAAGCTTCTTTCCCCAGCTGAATTGTATTTCCTGAAACAGGCACATCTGAGCTCCCCTCAAGTATGACTTATGAGGCATTCATTCCCACTAGAAACCACTGAAAATGTATTAATAAACGAGTAAACCACACCTTCAAACCTTTGACCCTTTCACCTGCTTATAATTAAAGTAAAAATTATGGTCTCTGAATAAATCAAATCCCAGTGAGCTCTCTACATGATGAAGACGAACGTGGCTTATGTTGCACGAGAAATTTGCAGATTAGATGGAAAAGGAAAATATAATTTTTGCTGTCCTGAAGCCTTTGAAACATTATTCATGTGTCAGTGTAAAATAGATTAGAGTACAACCAGTGACGTTATCAGAATAAATATCAGACTGCTGAGAGCAGGAAAACTAAACACATGCATTGTGGGAGAGAAATGATTTTGATGAGGATGTTATGCAATTGTTTCAAAACCCCTTCTTTCCACCGGAGCCGTCAGCAGCACGTTACTGCAGCAGCACGTCTTGCTCGTGTAAGCTGCTGCTTGGCCCTTCCTACGAGACGCGAAGCAGCAGGGGAGCTGCTGTCACCGACAGAGCAACAAGAAGCAGGAGAAAACTACAACATGGCTCCAAAAGGTTTGTGTTTTATATTCTGTCCGTTTTATAATCGCCAATACGGACCTGAAAAACAAAGGAGACCGCTAGCTAGGTGATAACTTCTCATGGGGCCGCACAGTTAGTAACTTTTTTTTAAAGTAAAGCAACCGGAAGGCAGTACGTTTCTTTATCCTGAAAATCTCGGGAGCTTCGCTCCGTTTTCGTGTCCGGTTTCCTGTCTTTCCTTCCCCAAAAATGTCGAACTTGACCCGTTTCAGAGGCGCCGCATATAGAAAATATATATACAGTATATATATTTATATGTGAATAAAAACTTGCCAAATATAATGGAAATTTCTAAATAATGCAAAAATATGAAGTAACATCTGCTGGTCAGGCTGAAAAGTTTGGGAACTACTGCTCTAAGTGATAACTGAATATAGTTTTTTAAATATATTTTATGTGCAGTTTTTTAGGGCTTTTATGTTTTCTGTAAAGATTGGTATGCTAAAAATCATTTAATGTTTTGCATAAAGCATGAGGTTTTGGTTAGTAATCGATTGGAAGAATAACAAATGACTGAATTAAATAGTGGGGCGCCTCTGTCAGCGCACCCCAGGGCAGCTGTGGCTATATCGTAGCTTATCATCATAAGTGTGTGAATGTGTATGAATGGATGAATGAGGAGTACAACCTGGTGAGGAGGTGCCACCATGGGGTCACTGCAAAATGTCAGTAGATCATATCATCGCAAAGTTAATCAGGCTGCTCACGACCAAAATGAGGATTCAAGGAGCCTGCGTGGACAGCCTGTCACAGCCAAGAAAACAGAGGTAGGATGCAAATGCAAGAATGCAAAATGGTTGGCAGGTGACAATGATGAATGAGGAGGATTTATTAACAGAAAATGCTGCCAAAGCAAGAAATTCAAGAGTTGAATCCAAAAAGTATGAGTCGAAGGAATCGACAACAAGGATCTGATACGACGCAGCTGAAAACCCTGAGAGAGGCACTCACTGATACAGAGGAAGTGGAAAGATTTTAAAACAAGATTAAATTAGTTTATTGGCTTTGTGTGAAATGTTATATCCCAACTTAAAAAAAAACTACAAAAAAATCCACATAACCTAATCCCTCACTGAACTTCTCCTTCTATTGCTAACTGTAATTTGATGTATAGAAACTAAAAGCAAAGCATCCATCTATATCTCCCCTGATACATTTTAAGACCTGCCCCCGCACGCTGGAAAAAAAAACTGAAGGAAAAATAATAATCACATTCCACCTCCACCACTGAGGCAAACCTTCTCTTTAGAACCCAGTAAGACTCTGCAGCTGACACGAGCCAATTATCTCTGTCTGCTTTCAGAGTTGTTAAGTTAAGCTGCTTTTCTCCTACTAAACTAACTTGATGACATTTAATAAAATACCACCAACCTCATTAGAAGATGCCATGCATGTGCAGCTCTGCATGACCACAAACATGGTGATCGTTGAATTATACATTTAAACTCTCAACGCTGAGCTGAAACCAACAGTCTAGGCTTGTAAAAGAAGACATACGTAAAGGCCAAGACAAGGAAATAGTAAACCTCTGTAACTGAATTCCTGCTGTGGATCGCTGTCTGGGTTCTGCAATCAACTTTGGTCATACCAAAAATTAGGGCTGCCTCTACTGTGACATTCTTGGTAATGGGTCCACAGGAAATGTAAATTGTTCAGCATTGAAATTATCCAGCAAAATCGAACTTTCTTTTAGTTTAAACATCTCTGCTTGAGCTGCTTTTATTTATTTATTTAAAATGTTTTATTATTATTCTGCACCTCGTTAAAGTGCCCAAAGTGCCAAGTTTCCACAGATCCCATGACCAGAGGAGGCTGTGAGTTTTTTTTAGGAGTGGACGTTTATTTGTGAATGTCTCAGGGTCATAGAAAAATTAAATGTTGTTGTAGTTAGTGGAGAAAAACTTAGATGAAAAGCTGTTTCATGTAATGCAGCATCACATCACTCTGCTAACAGATCATTTAACTGAAGTTCCTTGAGACTTTAGAACACCCAGATTGTGTGAGGTAATACTAAAGGGGCAAAAGCTACACAACTATCGCTAACGTGATATGATCAGCTAACACTAATGATCCACTCACAGGGCAAAGGAACTGGCTCGGAAACACATTTTAAACTTGAAGCTAGACTCTAGTTCCATCCTCTACAGACTAGGGGTTGTATGAACTAGTTGACTAGTCGACTTCACGGCTCTGTAGTGACTTTTTATGCCTGTCATCGACTAGTCGCTGTCACGTGATAATGACTGACAAGATGCAGTCCTCGGAAAAGACAGCAGGTGATGAGCCCCTGCGTCGGGAGGCGGAGGCGACGCGCTGTGCCAGAGCGTCGGTACTGACACCGGCGGTAAAACGGACATTTAACCAAACTGTGACCTTTTCCCTCTTGCAATTTTACCTTCCCCTCACCCCCATCCTAATCTTAACCAGTTTGCGCATGCAAAGCTCTGATCGTTGATGCGCTCCAGACATCTGCGTCCTGAGCACCGCCAAATCAGGTGTCACCACCTCAAAAACAAATTAAACACGCGATCGTTCATGTCGGCTCATTTCCTTTAATGTTTTCTGTCTTTTATTTGTGCCTGATGCGTTTCGCTGCGGAGCGAGGCACATCACCTGTTTTGTCCTCCGGTGACGCACCCTCAAAATTCCACTATCTCCGCTCCGTTCAGGCACGAACTCCGCAGCAAAAACGGTCCCATTGTAGTCGGCCGGCGAGCAGCTGCACTCCGCTGTTTTTGCGGTCGGTAGATCTTTTAGAACTGCAGTTCAAAGGTAACTCATAAGGTGAATATATATGAAGCCAGGTAGCAGTTTTTCTTTAGGATTGAGAGGAGATGCAGGAAGATAATAAACAGACAGGACAGAAAAATAGTCAAATAAAAACAAGTTTGTTTTTGTACCTGGTGGTTGCAACAAACAGACACCATTGAAGGTCATCAGAAGTGAGGAATAGAAAATGAAATAATTATTTTAATGTTTAGAGCAGCAGGAATTCCGAGAGGCTGCAGGCGCATCAGTGAGTTTGTGGCCGCGGCGCAGGGGGAGGGGGGAGAGGGCTGAAGCAGAAACTACCGTTGTTAAAAGAAATGTGTTTAACTTAAAAAATGTGGGCGCAATTTTAATTTAATTGTCAAAAACTCCAGCGAACCTACCGACACCCCCCGTAATAACTTGTACTCGTTCTTTCCTTCCTCACTGAGTCAAGATAGGAGCTGATCACAGTACTTAGAATACTTCATATTTGGAATGCCTCAAATCTCTTTAGCTGAGTGGATTCTGCAACATAAATCACTGGGTTAGAGCTAAAGTCACGTTTAGCAGGAACTCGGTGGAACCTCAACGGACCTGGTTGACAAATGTTTTTAGTAGGTGAGTCAAAATGCACCAGTGGCCTGCTCATAATGATGTGCTCATGGTGCATGGTTCCAATGATTAGTCAACAACTTGGTCATTTAACTTCTGCCGTCAAGTAAAACTTAAGGAATTTGGGTGTTGTTGATGACTAATCAATGTCTCTTGAGAGCCACTCAAAAATGATGGTCTGAAACAGTTTTTATCACTTAAAAAATGTTATTAAACTGCAAAGGTTGGTGTCAAAACATGAACTTGAAATGGTTATCCATGCCTTTATCTCCTCCCATCTAGATTACTGTAACACACTCTTCACATGTTTTAACCAAAAAGCCCTTGACCGCCTTCAGTTGGTCCAGAATTATGCGGCGAGTCTCATAACAGGAGCAAACAGAAGAGCTCACATCACTCCTATTCTAATGTCTCTACACTGGTTCCCCGTTAACTTTATAATTCATTTTAGAATCCTGACTAACTTTCAATGATCTACATGGTCAAGCTCCTCCCTATATTACTGAACTGTTAAAGCCTTATGCTCCAACCCGAGCCCTCAGGTCCACTCACCAGAACCTTCTAGAATTTCCAAAGAGCAGATATAAATTTGAGGTAAATGGCCTGTGAAAAAAATTAGTAAAGATGATATAATAAAAATTTATGAATACATCAACTTATTTTACCATGTAATACTTATAATATTATTGTGACAGTGTGAGCGTGCTGTCACTGTATCCCGATTGATCATGTGCCCTGGCTGCTTGGCCAAGGGGATGTCCTTTTGGCTGACTGATGTGCGTGACTCTCACTTGGGAGTCTGGGGATCGAATCCCACTTGGGGCCTTGTTTCTCTACCTTGCCACATTATTATAACTTTAAACTGTGTAATAACCCATATAACCAGTTAAAACGAGCAAATCAGAACATTTTGATGCTGGTGTAGACTACTATTGTAGACTCTCATCAAGCAGAAAGCCTGAAAGCGTGAAGATGGAGTATTAGGGTTGGTACTTTCTTCAAAAACCTGCTCTGTCCTATACATGGCTTCTGCCTTCTGGGAGAAGATCTACTGGTGGCAAAGGCAGATTTTAAATCTGTCATGTTATTTTATTACCTAATAAAAAAACATGTCATAATATGATGTTGTTCACACAAGTCGACAAAGAGTTTATAAGTTTTAAGACATTCTTTTGGTGATCTTATTTGTGTGTTCTTTTTTCCAACACATGCTCTGAGCAAGTTGCAATGTCATCTAATATAGTTACTCTGCAGACTGTCAATAAAGATGCACAAGAGAATTAGCAGTTATTTAATGACGTGATTGCTCAGATGAACAAGCTTTAATAGACACACAATTAGTCTTTTTTTACCATTTTAAGGTCCCATGTCACCTCTCAGAATAACAAACAGGTTGTTCCCAAGCTGCATGTTTGTGTGGGTGCTGTGTTAGTGTTTTACTGCCCTTCTTGAGAAGTCTCAGGCTGGAGATGTCCTCATAAGTGAGTGCTCCAGTTTGCAGCTAAGTAGCCAGCCAGAGTACCATAATGTGTTGGAATATGTTACGATGTTCTCAAAGTTAGGTATGGTACCTGAAAATCACCTGCAGATTTCTGTCCAACTTGCTTATGCGGAGCAGTCTGAGAAAGTATCTGCTGGATTAGTGAGTGTTGTTGTGTTTGGAGACTCAAAGCAATACTGAGAAACAGTGATCTGAAGACATCTAAAAAGCCAGTCATTTGTAATATAAAACAAAATAAAAATAGGTGTTACTACAGTCTCCAGCCTTTTCTATGTTTGGATATACTGTATATGTGAAAAACAGCCTTGCTTTGAAAATAATACTTGGCCTACGCTGCCCTCTAGTGGACGCTAACTCAAACTACATTCCATTTGACTGAAACGTGACGTTTGGCTGTAATAACAACGTAAAAACACGGAACAAGAAACGTATAGTATACATTTTTATTTATTTATGATACATTCGTAAAAAGTAAATTAATTTGATATATTATATATTATATATAGAGAGAATTTTCCCCACACCTATCGTGCGCATGCGTGTCCAGGGGGCGGATCTTTTAGCTGCAGAAGAACCCAGTTATGTTGTCGACACCAGTAAAATGCAGCAGATGAGACCGGTATCTGTTATAATTAACGTTTCTGAGGTAATGCCATAAATGTCATCTTGTGTTCATAGTTGCCATTTGCACTTGTGAATCCCTATTACCTCTGTCTTTAGCCAGTAGGGCTAATATAACCTTTGGTTGCTAGCTTCAGTGAAATGTTAGCTGTAACCTCTGTATGAGTTAACGGTGAAAATGCTGAAGTATTAGCATCGGGTGCTTTATTTGCAGCTTTATAAAACTCTGTTAATGTTTTTATTGGTTTGTCACGGTCTCAGGTTGCTAAAACGTCAACGAAGTTTTACCAGCAGATTACTACGTAACATTATTTACTGCTAAAGCTGTTTTTTTTATTCTTTAGCTCAAATTATACCTTTTGTCACATGTAAACACATTTTGTATACGCTCCTAATATTTTAGCATAAACTGTTGCAGCTGATTAATGTTGTACAGAAATATTATTTTTATATCCTTCGCATATTCTAAACAATGAGCCTTTGTGATCTCTCCTTATTGCAAACAGGCACAATATGGGTCACCTGGAGGTGATTTCACTGTTCAGCTATAGACTCACATTCAGCGTTTATTTCTAAGGTGTTGACACTGTTTGATTAGGTTTAATGTCATTTTCAATCTGTGTGTAACAGTTTTCCCCATTAGAAGCATCCCATAGTAATCCATTAATGTTTATGACCTGTAGATCACGTGACAGACAGTGACTAAGCATTATCATACGTAGAATAAACTAGATAATCCCAGTGTCATGGTTCCCAGGCAGGTTTTATAGCCATTATCATGGTGCTTCCTGGAAATGGCATGCTGGGAGGTATATTATGTGAGGATCAGGTTGAATCTAACAAAACATTTTAGTTGAACTCTTCAAAATATGAATTTCTGTCCCGAAACACCCTGCAACTTTCCAGTTTCTGTTTATATGTGTTATTTTATGAGCATGTATAGTATAAACAAGTATATGCTATTTAAAAATATAGTCTGTAATATTATAGCTGAGTCTTTCCTCCCCAACTCTCACCAGCAGCTATCAATGATTTATTCAATTGTTGAAGTATGTTTTCTGAGTTTCTGGTTTGGTTCACTTGCAGTGACTTTGTGACATCCTACAAGAAAACAAAACCATGGGAAACACGAGCAGCGAGAGAGCTGCCATAGGTCATGGAGAGAAGGCTCAGCGGAGGGACAGCCGAGGGATCAAAGAAGGAGAAAGGCCAAAGATCCTAATGGATAGCCCAGAGGATGCAGATATCTTTCATGGAGAAGATATGAAGGTATTTATTCTGTCTCATGGGGAGATGCTGGTTACGCTATACTTGTTTTTGAAACACAACTCTTAACAAAATACAAGAAAATGATTCATATTTATATAATTATCTTGCCCTAAAAGACGGAGTTAACTGAGAAACCGTTTTTGTTTTAATACGATTGGTCACTCTGAGTTTAAAAAGCAGGCTAAATGTGAAAATAGTCTACCGTTATTTCCTGCATTAGCTGTAGATAGAAAAAAATAATGGGTGAAACTCGGATTAGAAAAGCTAGTGACATTTGCACGAGACAATGTCAAGTTTGCATGGACTCACCCATTTTGGCTTGCAATGGGGAAGGCTGTTGTTGATTTAACATCCAGATTTGAAATCCTACGAAGTCCAAGGAAGATCCCGCCTTTCTCACTTCTGATTAGCTAGAAAGGCTCTATTATGATTGGCTATTTCATTTAGCACCAAACAGTCTGTCCTCGCTAAGTGCAGACTGTCCTGCCACCAGCAGAAAGCTGTTTTGGGGAGTTTCGTAAAGAAAATGTGAACTTAGCGCTATAATAACCATTCTGTCCTGTTTTGCAAAATATTTTATGTTTTATGTTTCATAAAAAACTGAAAAAAAAGTGAATTTATAATCTTGTTGCATTTATCAAACTGTTTGATTTACTTTATATCTCTTGGCTCTCAAGCATTAGAGTACATAGGATAAACATATGTGCCTTACCTGGGTACAAAATTTAATAAAACTGCCCTATTCTGCCCAGCTGTGTGCATCAGGTCTGTTTCTTTTCTAGAATAATGAAAACTGGTTAAAAATAGGTCTAAATCAGCTTTAAATTAAATATTGTGTCCTTGGGCAAGACACTTAACCCCTTGCCTGCTGGTTGTGGTCGGAGGGACCGGTGGCACCTGTGTATGGCAACCTCACCTCTGTCAGTGCACCCCAAGGCAGCTGTAGCTGCATAGTAGCTCATCCCCACCAGAGTGTGAATATGTGTGTGAATGGGTGAATGACTGATTGTGTTGTAAAGCGCCTTGGGGTGTTCCAGGACTCTAGAAGGTGCTATATCAAATACAGGCCATTTACCATAAATGATACACTTTTAATCTGATGATGAGAGATGTGCTCTAACTTGTAAACAGCCTTAACCTATTAAAGTGAAGACATAGGACAACCTAATAATTAAGTAATAAAATAACCCCAATAGAGCTAATCAGTCTACAGTGTGATGCAACAAGATTTATTATGTAACGTGATGGAAGTGGTTACTTTTACTGAATGATCAATAAGATGTGATATTCCATATAAATATGAATTATCAACCTTATTGGTCTTTGAATATTTGATTTAATATGAACTTGGGTTCTTTGGACTGCCAGGGAAACACACACTTCATAATAATAATTCAGAGTCAAACATATAGTCTATAAAAATGAATTTAATACTTTATTTTTAAACTAATGACACATTTTGACATTTTTCAGGTTATTTTATGAAAGAAACTGAAACTGGTTTGTGCAAAACAGGAAAGGATGTTTATTATAGCGATAAGTTCACATTTTCTTCAGAAAACTCCTCAAGATCAGGCTGTAAACGTAAAAACCCTGCAGCGAGGGAAATCTGTTTCCTCTTACATGAAATAGCCTATCGTAGGAGTGCGCTTCCAGCCAATCAGAGGTGAGAAAGGCGGGACTTTCCTTGGACATCCTGGGATTTCAAATGACGCACCATGTCTTGGCTAGTAGAAGCTAACTGTTAGCATTAGCGACTCCACAACACAGCAGAACTCCTTCAGACTTGTTTTATTTGTTCAAATAAAACATCAACGTTGGAAACCAAACAGAGTCTGTGATTGAAAGTCGTGTTGGTGTTAGCCAATCAGATGTGAAATGTCCAAATATCAGGAAATAAGACTCCAAATCCTGCCATCTTCTACTCACCTCTCATCTGGCTCAATTCTACTTCCTGAAACAGCTTTTTTCCTACAGTGATCGACTCACGAGGCATTGATTTAAACTAGAGACCACTGAAAAATATGTTGGGAAAAAAGCTATTAAATTTGGTCTTCAATGTGTGTTCCAGGCTCCATTAGAGAAGGAGGAGTTCCTCGCGTGGCAGCAAGACTTAGAGGCAGAAGACAAAGGACCGACACTAGATCGACCAACAGTGTTTCGCTGGACTGGAGATGGAAAGGAGGTCTATATCTCTGGATCCTTCAACAACTGGGCCAACAAGATTCCCCTTATACGAAGGTGGAGACATTCATATATGTTTCTAATAAGAGAACAGGCTTATTCTGGAAAATGTGATAAAGAAGTCCAGTTATTTTTGATCCAGCCTTAAGTTTAGACTCACACGTCAAAACCACCTCCCGCTCTTGTTTCTTTCAACTGAGAAACATTTCAAAAGTCCGTAAACTGGTTTCTACTGCAGATCTGGAAAAAAATCATCCATGCCTTTGTGTCATCACGCTTAGACTACTGTAACGCTCTTTTTACTGGTCTCAGCAAAACCTCCCTCTCACGCCTTCAAGCCATCCAAAATGCAGCAGCCAGACTCCTAACCAAATCCAGCAGACGAGCTCACATCGCTCCAGTTTTACAGTCCCTCCACTGGCTCCCGGTAGAATATAGAATACAGTTTAAAGTTTTAGTCCTGACCTATAGAGCTCTTAACAACCAGGCTCCAAGCTACCTATCTGAGCTTTTATCCCCACACACCGCCTCTCGGAACCTCCGATCCACATCTGAAAACCTCCTGGCTGTTCCTCGAACCAGACTGAAAACCAAAGGGGACAGGACCTTTCAGACTATTGCACCCAGACTTTGGAACAGTCTACCTTCAAATCTTCATCTCTCTAACACTGTACAGGTCTTTAAAAATCATCTAAAAACTCACCTTTTCATCCAGGCGTTCCCTCCCTAAATGTTTCAAAAAGATGGCTTTGTTTGGGTTCACACCTTCACTTTGTTTATACTCATTATTTTATTTTCTACTTTATCACTGCTATTGTTTTTCTGATGTTTTTATTGGTTAGAGGTATTTGCCCTGATCTTTATCATGTTGTACAGCGCTTTGTGATTTATATCTGAGAAAGGCGCTATATAAATAAACTTTTACTTACTTACTTACTTACAGTCTAAACTGACTTTTGGTCCTCTTTGTAATCTGTCAAAGTCAGAACACCTTTGCAGCCATCGTTGATCTACCTGAAGGGGAGCATCAGTATAAGTTTTATGTGGATGGCCAGTGGACACATGACCCTGCTGAGGTAAGCAACAGCATCTTAAAATGTTCCACCTTAAATAGACGTTATTTCACAAATCCTAAGCTGGAAATTGTCTTCTCCGCAAAGGAGACTCGGCCTCTAAAGCTAAACACATTACAGATCTGCTACCACCCTGAAAACTCTGGAGAGCTAACAGCTTCTTTTCACTGTTGCATCACTCAGTGATTAGCTGTAGTTTTGTTTTGCATAACCTTAAATGTTATTGCACTTAGCATTTCTGGTGCAATCATACTTTTCAAGGACAGAGCCTGTTTTTATTACACTGTGATGTAAACACATTATCATATGTTCTAACCTTGAACAATGTTCTAGAGAGTGGAACATTTATGCTTTAGGGAGACATGTTCAGGTACTTGCTTTTTATTTTACCAGGTAAAACGTTTGAGAAGAAAAACATGACATGGCTAAGATGTCGATCTCAGCGGTAGCACCAAAAATTTTTACATCTGGACCTTTAAAAACAAAGAAAAATGATGACATCAATAAAAACACAAAACCTTTACATTGTGTCTTTGTCCAGAATCTTTGACCTGCATCAGGCTTGCTTTGGAACAATGTTTTACGTTGGCACCACGTGAGGGTGTATTTGACGCTCCTGCTTCATGGTTATAGTCCAGAATGCATAAATGAGGAAGTTAGTGTCTCGTCTGTTTCTAGGTGAGCTTTAGGAACCTGATTGTGTTATGTTTTACAGCCTGTCATCACCAGCAACCTCGGCACAGTCAACAACGTCATCCAGGTGAAGAAAACAGACTTTGAGGTGTTTGATGCTCTAATGGTGGATTCACAGAAATCCTCTGACCTCTCAGGTGAGCGCCGGTGAAAGCTTGCTTTCCTTTTTGTCACCCCCCACAGAATCCAGATTGAGAAAATGTAAAACTCTATCAAACAAATTTGATTCATGTTCAAATGTACATTTTATCTAAATACAGTTAAACTTGCCATAGATAAGGTCTGCCCTGTTGGCCTCTTGGTATAAACATGTAAGAAAATGTCGAATTATGGGAATAAACAAAAGAAAAACACCTAGATTTACAGAAAGCATTTTAAATTAGGGGTTTTCTTTGTCTCTGTTCTCCTTTTTCAGACCTTTCTAGCTCTCCCCCTGGGCCATATCACCAGGACGCTTATGTTCCTAAACAAGACGAGAAGTCCAAGTCTCCACCCATCCTCCCTCCTCACCTCCTCCAGGTCATCCTGAACAAGGACACTGGGATTTCAGTGAGTGTTTGAGATATTTCTGCTGTAAATTCTCCGTTCTTATTGTTTTCACCTTCTGGTGCATTATTTATTTAGATAAATAACAGCATCTTACTGTAATTAGAAATCATTTTTCTGCACAAATCTGATTGCTGTTTTGTTACATTTATGTCTTGCTTTCAGTGTGATCCTGCTTTACTCCCAGAGCCAAACCACGTCATGCTCAACCATCTCTACGCTCTTTCCATCAAGGTACAGTTTCTAGTTTACCAAAAGTGTGACGATTCTGAGGTCCTTTCATCAGCCAGCATTGTGAGAAATGACCAGCTTTGTTGGATTTTTCCTAGAAGGTGTGTGCCGTTACCGTGGATAGTAAACTAGCTCAGAGCCCATAAAGCACGAGGGAGAAATGCCAGCGATGATAACAAACGGCCAAAAATGACTGAAGGACAAATAAATGCACTTGTTGCAGCGTTCTGACCGGAAAAACAAACTGATCTCACATGCCGGAATATAAATAAAGACAGAAGTTCCAGACTAAATGGAAAAAATGGGTAGATCAAACGAGCAGAGTTTACACTGCAGGGCCCAGACCCAGACTCTGATTAGATAGTCGTTTTCTAATCTTTTTCCTTTAAGTTTACCTGAGGTGATGAGTTTGAATGTTACGATGGACGATTGTAACAAATACATCAGAAAGTGTCAAATATTTAAAGATGCGTGCAGTTTTATTAATACATTACTGAAACTATTTTTAAAGTAACACTAAACAGCTTCCTGCTCCTCTGCCCTACTGGTGAAAAACAGTCGTGCAGCAGCCTGCTGTAGTTAGTGCTAACAACGAGCTAACACTAACATGAGCCTACTAATGATAACATAAACCACAAATTAAAAAGATCAACACTGTTGGACAAAAAGTATTATTACTTACAAGTTCAGTAGCAACAAAGCCAGGTCACCATCAGTCTATGGTTTCAGGGCCTCCTTCAGCTTCCTCAAAGTAATGTAGGCCACACCGATGTTCACTCTGGTTTTAGCTCTTTGCTTCATCCCCAAAGACATTACTCTCTGACTGTATTTCCAGGCTCCACCATGATGCCAACAAAAAAAGCAAACTTTTTTTTCTTTTTCTTGTGTTTTTTTATTGCTGGTCGGCGAACTGAAAAAACTAACTGCTAGCCTTTCATTAGCTAGCGACAGAGAAAATAGCTAACAGCCATTAAGTAGGTAAAGAGCGCCCCCTAGGACACCTGCCACTCTACACAACTGTTAAGTGTTGTTTCTGGCCAGCAGAGGGCTGCAAAGTGCTGTCCCAGGTCAAGTTGGTAAAGTTTCTACTTACACTAACTCCACTTTAAAAGGAACTGATTCAAGTGTTATTCTTAAGTGTGGCATTAAATAAATCAAATTTGCAGATATGATTATAAGTTATATAAATTTTATCTAATTAGACACATTTTAACTGCTGAAATCTGAAATGAATAGTGGATGGGTTCATAGCTGTCAGACTGAAACAGGCTCAACAGACACTTCATGAAAAGAATGAGAAAATGAAACAATGAGGTTTGGAGTGTTTTAGGATAAGAGCCAAGTGTTTGCTTGTGACAGCCCTGGGAAATGTCAGGAAATTGGGGTTTTGGGGACTTCCCTTTGAAAATAACATGTGTCATACTGTGATTAACTGCAAAGCAGAACTATTCTTTTGGTTTTCTTTACTACATCCTACTGGGTTGATTTCCCGAATGAAAGGAGGAGAGCCAATGTACTATCAGCAGAAATCTCATGAGAACAAAAAGCATATAGTTTCAAACAGAGAATTTTGACTTTAACTTTTAAATTCTTTGTTGTTTTTATTCCTCCACAGGATGGAGTGATGGTGCTTAGTGCGACTCATCGCTATAAGAAGAAGTACGTCACAACTCTACTGTATAAGCCCATCTGATTGCAGGACTGTATGTTGCATTCCAGCCTTGTGTGCTATTCTAACAGTGAAAAATATTACCTCTGTTTTTTTTTTTTTTTTTGCCCTGAAATAGAAAGATTGTAGGGTCAAACCCTTACTGGTTTCTCTGTCAATATATATATAAAAAAAAAAAAAAAAAAAAAAACATCTGGCTTTTAAGTTAATTTCTATACGAATATTCAGAGCTGGTACTCAATTATCTCCTAACAAATATCACTAAGGTGAGACATAAAGTATGAATAGAAAAATTCCAATAGAGTTAATATAATTAACTTTTAATTATATTTAAGTTAATATATTTGGGGGGGGGGGTGTTGTCATTTAACATTTGAGCAGTGGTTTCCCTTTATAAAAACTTATTAAAGGTCAGATGTAAAACATGTTGCACTTAAAACAAAGTCAAACGAGCACAGCCATGGTTGGAGGCTTTTGAACGACAAAGGGTTTTCTGTGTTTCTGCAAGAAAACTAAAAGTATGACCCAGTGTATCAGAAAACATGACAATAACATTTATTGAGTAAAATTATTAGATGTGTGTGAGAAGTTCAACTGTGAACTTGGATTAGCAGTTAGTGCTGAAATTTTCATTGAGGGTTAACAGTCAGATTTGAACGATTTCTGGGCCTTAGCATTTTTTTTTTTACTTGTTGCTAATTGTGCTAAAACATGAGCAGCTGATGTCTGCATCAATGCCATCTTATGGTGGAACACTTGAACTTTGGAACAAATTCCCAAATAATCCTTCGAGCACACATCATTTCTCAGAAGTAAGCCGTTAGGACAGGCAAGTAATTGGCCTGATCACAAATCTGTTTTGTAGAAACACAGAAAATTCTATATTGGCCTAATTTTCAAGCACCACTGTTTAAATCAATCTGATATTTTATTGAGTACATTTTGTATTTGCAGTTATTCTACATAGTAGGATAGTAAACATGCTCAGCTCACCTGTTTATTATATTATTTTGGTAGTTTATAGTGACAAAAATAGTTTTATATGACACTAAAATGTTTGTAATGAAACAAACTATAATCGTTAGTAAGATAACTGAATAACCTCGTTAAAAGAGAGGTCTCTGACATTTTTATCCGACAAAAGCACTTTGTGCACTGCTGTGGTTCTCTGTCTCTTTGCCTGTTTATGTTCACTTTTATTAAAGTTATTTGTGGCCAGAGCAGGTTTATTTTTTGAAGTAGGCAGTGATTTATCTTTTTTTATTGGGTTATTTTCTGTGTGAAAGTTAGTTTCCATGAAGTTTGGTGAAAACCGTTCCAGTCCAGACATGAGAAAATGCTTGTTAGTTTTATTTCATCTATGATTTTCTGCACTTAAACAATAACCTTGTATCAGAGGAGGTTTTCTAGATGTAATAGTGCACTGATGACACAAAGTATACCCTTTAATTCGTTTTGATCTTGTTCAATAAGCTCACATGGGATAGTTGAATAGTTTACTGCATGAGTTGGTCTTCAGCAGCTCATCAGGTGATGTTTTCTGTGTTCATGATGGATTTCAGTTAGGAAAAAGATCAAAAACATGAAGTAAAAACACTGATTAGAGGAGGATCAGGGTAGAGTGATGCTACTTTTCATTACTTTTAAGTGTGTAGTTTTGCTTATTTTTGATCCTTTTAAAGGCTTTGCTATTTTAACTTATTACGTCTATTTAACTAATATTGATATATGACTTACATTAACGGGTACATTTTGTAGAACCAAATGAAGACGTGATTGTAATTATTCTTACTCGGTTTTGGCCAGTAGATGCTGACATTTAATTTATGTTATTTATGCTTTTTTTAGTTTTAATGTTGTCATATTTTAAACTGAATCAGATTTGATTCTATTACAAAAGGTCACATTATACGTTTGGGGTTCAGAATTTCTTTTTCTGCCTTTTAAAGACACACTCCTGAACTTTGCAGATATGAACTCTCTGTCGCCCCCTCAAGGCTTGATGCGTAACGTTACTGTCATAAAGTAAAATCTCTGTCATGTATAACAGGTATGTTTTGCTGGCGGTTTTCTAACTCTCGTGCCCAAACACATCAAGCGGCTTTTCAGTTCGTAAATCATTAGTAGCAATCAGTAATGTTCAGCGACAAGGTACAGTATTAAGATATTAATAGTATCAATTTATCAGAATGATTGGGTAATGCAATTATGGCGAAAACGTGCTGTGTACATAACAGTAAAAATCACGCAGTAACAAGCATGTCCATGAAAATGTCAATGGCAAAACAATGAAAACAAACTTTTTCCTCTTCCACACATTTAAATAATAGTTTTATCAGGACTGTACAGCAACTTTATGCTCGACCAAACACAATAACACATTTAGTACTTACCAGCACAGCTAGGTCAGAGTCCATAGTACATGGATGTAGCCTTTCTTTCAAGAAGAGCTCTCCAGCGAGGAAAAGCCAGCACAATATTAACTCTGGCCTTTGCTCTTGCTCTATCGTGTTCTCTTTTTCTTTTCCTAGAGTTCTCTGGTGAGGGATTTCTAGCTTTTTGTGGATCTGCCATCGCTCAAGCCTCTAAACCGCTGGTCTACGCGATACTGCCGTAAAGCAACTCTTAGTCAGTACTTCCAGTGTGGAAAAAACAGAAGTGGGACCCCATAACACTATCGCAGTTCAGAAAATGAACATAATAGATGATAGTATGCTGCCAAAACCTATCAAAAAACATGATTTTAAGGTGTAAAAGTAGAGGAGTGTGTCTTTAAGTTATTTTGACAAGTCTCATCACTGGCTCATTTAAGATGGCCGGATGAATGGAAACATCTTGTTAGTTTGTAGGTGGACAAGAGTTTGGTTTGTTACAAATACAAATCCATTTGATTTCAGTTTATTCTTTTGTGTGTCTTCCAGAGACAGAACAGAGTGTTTATTCTGGCAGGAATCATGAGAAACAATCCAGATATCAGACATGCTTGTAAATCTATCCAAACTGGTACAATGTGACTGCCACAAACGCTGTTTGCACATGTTTATGTTAAGAACATGAATATTAAAGATTAATCTACAAATTCATGAAGCTGTTTTAGTCATGATTACAAAAATGTTGTTTTGCTTTTGATGGTAACATGTTAGCAAAAATCATTTAGCATCTGCACAGAACAGTCAGAAACTTTTAAAGGTGTGGTTAAATGAAAACCTATGTTTAATGATTATTTCTGATTATAATCATTCATCCCAATTGTTTCCTGCAGGCACCTATCTCCTGCATTGGCGTCTGATAGAAAATAGATATTGAAACTCTAGGATTTGAACATCCTGACAGTTCTACGTCAGTTCTAGAAATGTGCCTACGGACTTGCAGACGCTTCTCTACTGCTATAACAAAGTTAAAGAAATCCTGTTGAGCACTGGTGGTAAAATATCACAAGTTGATCCTGCAGTGTTCTACTGGCAGAATGAGCAGGCTGAAATAACAGGTGTACTGGCATGTCATGTTGATGATTTTCTTTGGGCAGGATCAGAACATTTTGTGAGGAATGTTATTCCTGTATTCAAGTCTACTTTCCATGTGGGACGTGAAGAATATGGGAGCTTCCCATACGTAGGCATGGACATTTCTACTGTGGGAAACATTATACAGGTGCATCAGCACAGCTATGTTGGCAACTTACAACCTGTTCAGTCACAAGCAGTACGTGCCACTCAGAGAGACGACCCACTAGATGAGACGGAGAGAGAACAGCTCAGATCCAAAATAGGACAGGTTTTATGGGTTGCTAAACAAATGAGACTAGATGTTATGTTTGATATTTGTAGCCTGGCATCCAACATTAAAAATGCTACGGTTCAGTCGATACATGAGGTAAACAAAGTGATTCGGAAACTCAAGTCAGAGAAAGTTGCACTGAAGTTTCGACACATTGATAACAGTGATGATTTGAGCTTGGTTGTCTTCAGTGATGCGTCGCTGGGCAACCTACCAGATGGAGGCACACAGGAAGGGGTTTTCATTGTTTTAATAGGGAAAACTGGAAGATTCTTTCCTTTGTTTAAGCAGTCTAAGAAAATCAGACATGTTGAGAAGTACACTAGCAGGAGAAACTCTTGCCATGTCAGATGGTATTGATAAAGCCATGTTTTTAACCACACTCTCTTCCGTATTTACTGCCGGTAAAGCTGATCTGAACATGTTGCCCATTATCTGTGTCACTAATAACCACTCACTGTTTGATGCTCTAAAATCTTTTCTTTTAGAATTTCGTTTAAAGTTCTGGTGTTTGTTTTTAAATGTTTAAATGAGTTGGCTCCACGTTATCTGGCAGATCTGATCCATCCTTACGTTCCCGCAAGGAGCCTTCGGTCAGCACAACAAGGACTGTTGGTCGATCCTAAACACAGACTACAATCTCGAGGGAGTCGTGCTTTCTCGGTGCTGGGGCCGAGGCTCTGGAATGAGCTACCTACAGGAGTTAAACAGGCCACCACGCTCGGCAAGTTTAAGAGCCAGCTGAAAACTCACTTTTACTCTTTAGCTTTTATTCAGGAAGAGTCCCGTTAACTGATGGCTTTGCACTTTTTGCTGCCCCGCCTAGATTTTATCTGCATATTTTTGTTGGTTTTTAAATGGTTCTATATGTTTGTTTTTTATGTTTATTTCTACTGTGCAGTGCTTTGTTTGGTCCTTGGGCCATGTGAAGGCGCAATGTAAATAAAGTTTTAGTTAGTAATTAGTTAGAAATCTACAAAAGTTACAGAACTTGCTGACTGTTTAATTCAATTGAATTCAAGTTTATTTATATAGCGCCAAATCACAACGAGTCGTCTCAAGGCACTTCACATAGTAAACATTCCAATACAGGTCAGTTAATTGAGCCAATCGGAAAAAAAAAGTTTCCTATATTAAGGAACCCTGCAAATCGCATCAGCTCACTGACTAGTGTCAGTGACTTTACAGCAATCCTCATACTAAGCAAGCATTTAGCAACAGTGAAGAGGAAAACTCCCTTTTAACAGGAAGAAACCTCCAGAAATTTAACAAAAAAGGGTGCATCTTCTCTTGCACTCCTAAGAGCACTAGATGAGGGTGTGTGATGCCAATAAAACAAAAGAACTTGCACTATGTATTCATATTCACACGTAAAATACTCCTTTGCCTTGATGTTCCAGTTTGTATGTTTGTTTAGGCAAAATGTTTTAAAAATGAAAATAAATATTTTTGTTTAAGTAAGAGTGAGATTGTTAACTCAATGTAAATGTACAGTATATATTCAGGAAGTTTCTCGTTTCATGTTCTATCGCGAGGTGCTGCGGGAAGTGGCAGCATGAAAGATGGAGGATGGAAGAATGGAAATAAATGACGGCACTGAAAAATAAATGTGTGGTTCATTACACTTTACAGTTAGGATGCATCCTGGATGCCTCCCAGGTGAAGTTTTCCGGGCACGTCCAACCATGAGGAGACCCAAAGGAAGACCCAGGACTTGCTGGAGGGACTATGTCTCACGGCTAGCCAGAGAACGCCTTGGGATTCTCACGGAGGAGCTGCGGCCCAAGTGGCTGTGCAGAGGGAAGTCTGGTTAGGGTGCTGCCCCTGTGACCTGACTCCAGATAAGCATCTGAAAATGGATGGATGGAATGGCTATCTCACTATTGTACAATCTCTAACATCTCTGATTATGACTAGCATGTCTTTCGAGGGCAGATCATTGTGCCGTTTGAACAGGAAACGGCTGCAAGAAGAGCTACCAACATCAACTTTCTGTGACCATGGAAGGTTCACTTTAGTGACTTTGTTTCTGTGATCTCTGTTCATCCAAACAGTTCTCTGTCTGTTGATGCTGTGACCTAGTTCTGGTTGAGATAGAACATTAAAAAGAAATCATTAAATAGGAATAATATAAACTTTAGTTTCCAGAGGACCATCAGTCGGTTTAATGTTATTCTACATTTTCAATAGAGAAAAGATTGGACCAAAACCGTTTGTGTTGCAAACATCACATGTTCCATCTCAGTTATCTCTGTGATGGTGTTGATATGTGCATTCAGGGACTTCTAACCTGTCAGCTGGGCGACTTAAGATTAGAAGAAAAACAACATAAAATCCAACCTTTGTAAGGCGTGAGAATGATCCCTCGTTTTTCCATATGTCCGTTTGTGTTGAGTCACAGAGTACATGTGACCCTGTGTTGTATAAACAGCTGACAGGTGAGGTCCCATACCCGGTGTATAAAGAGCCATTCTGCGACTGACCCTCTGCCTTCCAGGATGAACACGATTCAGACTCTCTTTCTTTTGGCTGTAGGCCTCTCTGTAGGTGAGTACAACAGTGCAGCAACTGCTAGTTTGTGCTTTTTCAGGGGGGATAGAAACATTTAAAGCTCAAATCCTGTTGCGTTCTCACGCTTTAGCCCATTCATTGGACTACAAGGCCCTTTCCCAGTTCAGGAAGATGATCCTGTGTCTGATGCCCAATAGCTGGCCTGCTCTGGATTACGCTGACTATGGCTGCTACTGTGGTTATGGAGGCTCTGGAACACCTGTCGATGATTTGGACAGGTCAATATCTGGCTGCTTTGTTTTCTCACAACTTTTTTTTGTCCTACATCCATAATCTTATGTTTGTGTTTTACATGCAGGTGCTGTCAAGTTCATGACAAGTGTTACAGTGATGCCATGCAACATCCTAAGTGCTGGCCCATCCTGGACAACCCTTACACCGAGTTCTACCACTACACGTGTGACAAAGATAACAAAAAGATCGCCTGCACTGGTGAGTTCACTTTAAAAAAAATGCCCCCCCCCCCTCCCCTAATACTTGTGTTTTATTTCCTTTTGATTGAAAATATTTCCAAAATTTGTTTTCCTCAGACAAAAACAATGAATGTGAGATGTTCATCTGCGAGTGTGACAGGAAAGCTGCAGAGTGTTTCAGCCAATCTGAATGGATCCCCGAACACGAGCACCTGCCGAGTGACCAGTGTCGTTAAAGCATACCTTGCGAAGAAATAAGTGCTTCAAAAAGATGCGTGCACCTTTTTAACTTTGAGGACAGTTTATCCAGATTTTTTACCCCTTAATTCAAAAATGTAATGACCTTGCAGAATCAGACAGAATTCGGATATCTACATAATGCCTTTCCTAAGCTGAGACTGTAATTATACTTTATCCTAAACGTTCATCTCGCACGTTTGCTGTTTGTATCTGTTTTAACAATCATATGCCTTCTATTAACCATCGATGTTTTTTTAACCATCGCTCGTTAACATGCAGGAAGACAAGGAAATTGTAAAATGGAAAGGAGATCTATTCTGATAAATCTGTAGCTGTTCCCCATCCTTTCTGCAATCTCGTATTTAAAAAAAACATTAAAGAAATGAATAAAGCCATTTTGTGAGGAAGAACAAATGTTCAACTTCCTGTCTTGTTTCTTAATGACTGTTTCTGAATTATTGTGTTACCACATTTAATTTGTTTTTAATTTTTTTTAATTTTTATTTTTTTTATTAGCATGTCCTGTCTGGCTGTGAAGCAAACAGAATTGATGTCTGAATGCTGGTAACAAGCCTTACAGATTTACTCTCAGGTGGAGCATCAAAGCGTCTGCTTTTAATGTCAAGCCTGATACTTAAAAGTTTATTGTTATTGTTTTTGAATGCTTTGTAATTCTGACCAGACACGGAGTCAGAGGTGAAAGAGAAAGGAAAAGATAAAAGGTGGGGAGAGAGAGGGGGGAGGGTCCACAAAAATAAACAATACTGAACAAGAGTCTGCTTCTAGACCTGCAGAAAGAGACAAGAAAAAAAAAAAACAAAAAAAAATGGGACACAACAACAATACAACAAGATCAAGCTATCACTGTGTCAGCTTGGTGAAGAAACATATAATCAACATTGTTTAACTGAATAATCACACGATAATAAATCACAGTGCATTAGTTGCCCACCATAGTCTTAAGACCTGTGTTTAATGTGCCCAAGCCCATACTTTTGAGAGCACCATGTGAGCACCTGTGTGTGTACACGCTAGGGGTTATATGAACTAGTCGACTTCATGGCTCTGTAGTGACTTTTTATGCCTGTCATCGACTAGTCGCTGTCACTTGATAATGACTGACAAGATGCAGTCCTCCAGCAGGTGACGAGCCCCTGCGTCGGGAGGCGGAGGCGACGCGCTGTGCCAGAGCGTCGGTACTGACACCGGCGGTAAAACGGACATTTAACCAAACTGTGACCTTTTCCCTCTTGCAATTTTACCTTCGCCTCACCCCCATCCTAATCTTAACCAGTTTGCACATGCAAAGCTCTGATCGTTGACGCGCTCCAGACATCTGCGTCCTGAGCACAGCCAAATCAGGTGTCACCACCTCAAAAACAAATTAAACACGCGATCGTTCATTTCGGCTCATTTCCTTTAATGTTTTCTGTCTGTTATTTGTGCCTGATGCGTTTCGCTGCTGCGGAATGAGGCTCTTCACCTGTTTTGTTCTCCGGTGATGCACCCCCAAAATTCCTCTATCTCCGCTCCGCTCCGGCACGAACTCCGCAGCAAAAACGGTCCCGTTGTAGTCGGCCGGCGAGCAGCGGCACTCCGCTGTTTTTGCGGTCGGTAGATCTTTTAGAACTGCAGTTCAAAGGTAACTTATAAGGTGAACATATATGAACCCAGGTAGCAGTTTTTCTTTAGGATTGAGAGGAGATGCAGGAAGATAATAAACAGACAGGACAGAAAAATATTCAAATAAAAACAAGTTTGTTTTTGTACCTGGTGGTTGCAACAAACAAACACCATTGAAGGTAATCAGAAGTGAGGAACAGAAAATGAAATAATTATTTTAATGTTTAGAGCAGCAGGAACTCTGAGAGGCTGCAGGTGCATCAGTGAGTTTGCGGCTGCTGTGCAGGGGGAGGGGGGAGAGGGCTGAAGTAGGATGCAGAAACAACCGTTGTTAAAAGAGATGTGTTAACTTAGAAAATGTGGGTGCAATTTTAATTGTCAAAAACACCAGCGAACCTACCGACCCCCCACCCCCACCCCGCACGCGCTTCAGGTGTATGGCGCCATCAACGACTAGTCGAAGTCGACTCGATTTCCATTTCTTGACTGTCGACTTTAAAACAAATTAAGTCATGCAACCCCTAGTACACATGCTTGTTTATGTAAGGTTTCTCTATAGGAGCGTCCAATGGAGAGTGTGAGGGACCACAGATCCCCCCCCCCCCCCCCCCCCCAAAGATGCGTAGGAAACGGGGGAGCCCCAAGTCCCAGAGATCCAGGCGCTGCCCCAGAACACAGGAACCCCAAGGAGACTGCAACCAGAAAGGCCCCAGCCCCCCTCAAGAGGCACAGAGGATCGCCCCGGGGGGGCCACAACCAGCAGCCGGCAGAGTCCCAGGAGATATCAGCGGCAAGCCCACAGCAGTGTTAATTTTGACAGGAAATTTTTATTTTATTTTAGTCTTAGTCTTTTGGCTAAAAATTAATTTTAGTCTTAGTCCAATTTTAGTCATTGATTTATTTTAGTTTTAGTCCCATTTTAGTCGATGAAAATAACAAGTAATTTTAGTCGATAAAAATAAGCATTTTTAGTCAACAAAATGCATATGTTTTTTCTAATGAAGTAATTTCCTACTTTTGTATAGAGCATGGAAAAACTAGTGTAATTTAATACACAAGGTCCAAACTCTTAACCACCACTGATCAGATATAGCACACACAGCTAAGAACATAGAATATTTGAATAAAAAAACACTTCACATGTTTAACACTTATGTGTTTAATAAAAAACAAAAAGCACACTGGAAATTACAAAGGTGCTCTTTTTAGCAATTGCACAACAAGAATTTACAAGAACAGCAAATTTAAACATGTCTGTAGATATTCACTTGTTACAACACAGGCTCAACCAAACAGTGTGAATATTTATTTGCTGCGATTCATTTTGAGAAAAGCACTTCGTGCTAGTGTGACCTTTGCTCTGTTGCGTTTCCCTCTAGTGAGGTCACCTGTGATACTGAACACTCTTTCTGCAAAAGATTGAGAAGCTGGCATTGCCAATATATCTAATGCTAATGGTTTCAGGCTGTGATAAAATGTGTCACATTTTCCAAGCCAAAACTCCATTCCCGTTTCACAAGTGATGGACTGTGAGAGCTCTTCCTTATACTGGCTTATCTGCTGTCTAACACTACACTTGGAAGATTTTGGTTTAGGCTTTGTTCCGAATTTGGAGAGAAACCTAAAGACTGGTTGTCTGGAGGAGGAGGAGGCAGATGATGAAGAGGAGGCGGCGGCGGCGGCGGGTGGTGCCGGTTCAGGTCCATTCAGTTCCTCCAGATCAGAGTGGTTCTCCTGTGTCTGAGAGCACCAAACAACAAACCCTTCTGCCTGCTTGAGCAGCTCCTGAATGTAGTCATCAGCCACATTGAGGAGGGTCTGACACACAGTAGGATTGAGAAAGCACGCAGCTGCTACAAGTGGGGAAAACTTGTCATCTGAGGGATCTTTAACACATGTAAAAGGCACATCGGGTTATAAAACGTACCGGTAAAACATCTGTGCGGGCTCGGGACTCAGATCATATCAGTGCAAACCAGACATTATGAAAATTATAAACAGCCAACAGCATGCTTCACTTTACTGGTCTAGACCTGGTTTAGAGCGCACGTGCAGCGAGCGGCTGCGACCCAAAAAGTACCAGAACTGCTCACGGCGCATGCGCAGTCATGCATCAACACTGCTCGTCTGCTATTTCCCTAATAACACACGTTATAGTCGTGAAAATATGGTACTTCCGAATTTTTATCCCAACATGACAGAGTTGATACAGTTTTATTTGCCTGTATATTACTTTTCGGGTCGTCACGTGTACAACATTTAAGTGGATTTACCTCGGAGAAAATGGCGAAGTGGCCATTCTGTAGATGCCTCTTCAGATTCGTTGTGTTCTTTCCTCGGAACAACAGTCCACACTCTTGGCATGTAGTTTTGGTAGCAATGTTTTCATAAGAAAAATGACTCCACACATCTTCTCTTCTTTTTCACCCAGCAGTTAACATTTTCCTCTACTCGTTCATCTTATGCCGTCGATATATACAGTGAGCTATGTTTAGCATACCACGCATACCTGCCCCTTTATACTATTCGGGGTCTGTCTTCGCTCACATCCCGCATGTTCACGGCACGCCACGCCCCTTGTCTTCTACTACGTACGCGTCTCACAACAACACAATAGGCGCACCGCACCATAGAGTGCCATGTAGAAGAGCGTCATCGTGGATTTTCATCTCGTCTTTCATTTGTTGACTAAAAGTTTCAATCAGTTTAATTATCGTCTTCGTCTTTTTCCAAGCTTTTATTTTGAAATTTTGTTTCATTTACGTCTGTAAATATATTTTCGTGACGAAAAAAAAGACAAACATATTTTGTCAACAAAATTAACACTGGCCCACAGGCCCACCCGCAGCCTCCCACCCCCTAGCCGGCCGAGCCCGGGACCCAGCGACCCGGGACCCAGGGGCGACCACCCCCGCCGGAGACCCAGCAGAGCCCAGGGACCCAGACCCCACCAGACAGCCACCGGGATTGATCAGGCAGACGCCAAAAATCTTAAACCCCCTGACCCGGGAGCCACGAACACTCAGGCAGACCAAGGCACCACACTCCACACCAGGTGTGGCAGGGGGAGGTGAGACGAAGATCTATATCATCAAAAGAAGTCCCAGGAGAGGGGAGGAGTCAAAGGCCCCACCTGACAAATACAGTCATACACAAACACAGTCACACACTCCCTCCCTCATGCTCACACATACACATACAACCAAAGACTTACGAAAAGGCACGCCGGACACCCACTCATGCTCCCCATACACGCCCTATTCACGCTGGTCCCTGTACTGCTTTATTTTTGATTTTATAACTGGTTATGCAATCCTGGCACGGCTGATGACTTACATAAGCTTTTGGAAGGATCGGTTGTCTCTGATTACCAATTAAAAATTCAGCTATCAAGTTTTGACAAATGTAATAATATTTACATAATAACAATCTTTTCCAAGCATGCCTTTTTTCCATGTCACTGGCCTTAATAATGTTTTGAAGAGTGTTTTCAGGGCATAATGTAAAAAAAAAAAACAATTTATGTAGTTTAGTCAGATCTGACATTTTGCTTCAGTTATGAAAGTTTTAGTGGCTGATAAGCAGTTTTGTGCAACTAGTGATAAAAGCACCATTACAATTCTGTCCGAAAGACTGAAAGTAGCAGACATCATTGCTTCTTTTAGTCTACTGTATGTGATAATGTTAACTAGTCTAGTGAGGACTCCCGAGGCTGCAGCCCAGGCGCGCAGATAGGGTGGGGGACGGGGGGGATCTGTCCCCCCCCCCCCCCCCCCCCGATTCAGATCTAC